ATAGTATGCTGTAATTTTATGTTTCAATGCAACAAAATCCATTTAAAACAACACATTTAAAAGGTGAATAATAATACTTGTCCGGCCCCTGAGCTGTTGGCTTTGTGACCCCCTGAACATTTTAGTTGAACAGCTCTGTATTAATGAAAAATAAGACAATAAAGCCATCATTGACCATAAACTATATTTCCCATAATTCATGTCGACTGTGCATGGGAATTCCCTGTTGGAAAGTAGGAGAGGACGTGTTAAAATGTTGTTTCTATGCAGGAAATAACACATAGAGCTCAGYTATTGTTTTAGTGGTGCTCAGCTTTAGCAATGAGATGAATGTCTTTAATTATCTTTAATTACAAGTGACCCTAGCTGAAAAAGAATTTGACACCCCTGTCTTCTAGTCTCTAGGTCAAAACAAAGCTTTCTTCTTCTTCTTGTGACCTTTAGCTGCCGTTCCTGAGATCTTGGACTGCTCCGACAGACCCGTCCTGCAGGCCGTCTTCCTCAACAACAACTGCTTCGAGCACATCCTCCGGCTCGTTCAGAACAGCAAGGTCAGACATGGCTGTCGGTCACAAACGTGTTGCTGTGTCTGTCACCTCTTCAAATCTGACCTTTTTCATCAATCTGCCCACCTGTGTCAGTCTGTCACCTGTTCTTGTTTCTGTCATTTCCTCTTTTGGTGGTACCGCTACCTAACCGCTGCTTCTATTCTTCAAAAAAAAACAAAACAAAAAAAACAATCACAAACAGACATGCGTTTTGACTTTGTGTTTCCTCACATGGCTTTAGAAAAACTCCCCCTCCGACAACCTGAACTGTATCTGTTTTATTTTTAGTTTTTGTGCCATGTGTGTTTGTTTGTGGCTTCGTGTTTATTTTTATTATTATTTTTTTTTATATCCTGAAGCTCTTTCAGAGCAACAGGCGTACACCGGAGCGTGGGGTCATGTCTGACCTCACCACACATTTACTCACAGATGTCGAAGCGGACCAGGTACTCCCGCCCCCCTCACAGTTTGGTGTTGCTATTGGTCTGTCAGCAGGAAACTCAGGCCTCCCGCTCTCTGTCTGCTCGCTCTGAGCTATTCAAACAGGAAGTTGTAGGCAGGAAGTCTGGCTTACACTCGTTTGTAAATAAAACAGGTAGAGCAGACGTGATAACTGCCATCAAGGCTGTAAYACTCTGTGAAATCGCCCAACTCAAAAGCACCTCTGTTGTTCAGTTGAAATGTCTCCATGCACCATCACAGCAGTTACAGGCTGAGTTCCCTGTTGGCAACACTGGGCAAGAAGGGCATGTTGTGTTTATCACTCTGCATGAAAAATATGTCATTTCCTCTGTTTTTCCTCTTGATTTTTGCTGCTTATTTATGTGACTGCTGGCGTTTTTGTATAAAAGACCTGGCTCGTGTCCTGGAGCTGGATGTTGACTAATTCCCAGCAGCAGCTTGGGATTGCCTTATTTGTTCTTTTTTTTTTAATGATTGCCTTTGTTTTTTGCATGCTGGAACCTGTCTTTGATTAACAAGAAGGATATTGTTTGGTGGCCGGTGCAGCAGCTCACTTTAGTTTGTGATTTACTTCCTCTTGCACTTTATAGAGACATATTCGTTTTGTTTATTTTTAGTACAAAGATGTGTGCCGACTTTATTTTGGGCTACGTAATTGTTTGGCTTTTTTAATTTGCGAACTTATGATGTTGCACCGTTTTTAGTTATTCGGTGTCATAATCGACTCGTGTAGGTTTTGGAGAAAGGAACGGACAGCATCACGGTTCATGCCTTGGGGGTCCTCACAGCTATAATGAGTAACTCACCCTCTGCTAAGGTAAGGCTCCAGTTTGAACATCTGCAGTCAAAGCACAGCTTTCATACTTTTACACACATTTGAATAAGAAACCGTAAAAAAAACAGGACAGGAAATTTTAACTGAGCTTCTGTGGAAAGGCTTTAAACAATCAATATCTTACCTGTTGTAGATAAATCTTAGAACAACCTCAATTTATAAATACAGTTATTCGGACCCAATTAACTAACTGATTGCATATCCAGAATTGAGCCCAATTTCTTCAAGGTGRGGCTTTTCAAAGAGCTATCTGCAACAGGTAAGATATTAATTATGGAAAGGCAGATTCAGGGAGTATTGTTTTCATGTTTTTTCATTATTGTTACTTTTTTTAATAAGTGTTTACATGTTTTTGTGTTATTTCAGTCATTCATGCATGAAAATGTTCAGTTCATTTAGGAGATGGCTGCTATGACTTTTGAAAATGTTATTCTTTAAAATATTTAACTTTACTTAAAATAATTAAAATTTTACTTTTTGTGCTACCTGTACATTTTAACTAGCCTTTTGATACTTTTAGCATTCAGTTAGACTTTTGTTACTTTTAGCTTATTGCTACCCATTTGATACTTTAGCTTTTAGCCAGTGTTGTATAAAGTACCACAAAGTGATACTTGAGTAAAAGTGCAAGTATCTTACCAAAAAATGACTTTGGTAAAAGTTAAAGTCTCCTTTAGGAATATTACTTGGGTAAAAGTCTTAAATTCTGATATTTTTTGTACTTAAATATTAAAAGTAAAAGTATTGATTTAAAATGAGCAGTTAGATTTTCTGTAAGGACATTTATTAGGAGGTGACCTCCCCAAAAACTGCAGAAATGACTGTTGTATTAAAATAATGAGTTGAAGTTAAATTTAGGATGCACTAGTCCAGCTGTTTCAGTTTATATACATATATCAAGGCTGCACAAAGCTTTTCCCCAAAATGAAAATCTATCTGAGGGCTGTGGCCAAATGTAATAATATAATTCATGAAATACAAATACTTCTTAAGTACAGTCCTTTTATTTGAATGATTCTGTCCTGCTGGAGTGTGACATGATTTGTTTGTGTACAAACTAATACACTATCAGAGTTTTATATATTTATACTTCTCATTCAACCACAGTTAAATTCACTCTATCTAGGAGGCACAGCTTATATGGATAGTATTTATTTTTTACAAGAACAAGCTGGAATGAAAACAAGCAAAAATGAAATAAGAGTTACGACTTTCTACTTCTTGTCTTTTTAAAAATGTAAGGAGTAGAAGTAAAAAGTAGGCTGAAAAATAATTACTCAAGTAAAGTACAGATAACCAAAAATTCTACTTAAGTACAGTAACAAAGTATTTGTACTTAGTTAYTTTACAACTCTGCTTTTAGCTATTTTATTGCTATTTTTATTAAGTATTTTGTTACTTTTTACATTTAGCTAATGTTGTGCCTACTTCAGTTTTTAGTTACACTGCAAAAATTATCCATCTGAGCAATTCACAATCTTATCTCCAGATACAAGTATTTAGATTTTGTTTTGATACTATTACACTAAGAAGAAGCAGAGTCTTGCTAGCCTGAAATTTTTCTTATTTCAAGAAGTCTTACTAAGTGCAATTATCTTACCGCACTCATGGATTATTTCATTTAATTTGATAAGATTCAGACAATGATCTGGTATCTGGTACTTTAGGTGGCTATTTTTTGTACTGTTTCGTTTAGCTTTAACAACTCAGTTTCTGCTTCTTCACCAAATTTCAACCAAGTCAGTCAGCTTTCAGTTTCTGTAATTGTTCATAAGTTAACCCAGAAACCCAGTTCAAAAGATCTGACCCAGTGCTTTAAAAGTGAACATTACACGTTTGTGACAACTCTGTTTTGTTTGAGTCATGGAATTGTCCCAACAGGGTTTTTTCCAAGATGTTTCTGTCTCTTTTGCTCTCAGGAGGTTTTTAAAGAGAGGATTGGCTACTCTCAGCTGTTTGATGTGCTGAGGAGCCAAGGTCAGCCCACCAAAAGTCTGCTGCGGGAGCTGATGAACATGGTAAAACTCTTTTTCTCATTATTCCCTCCCTCAGCACTGTTAAAGTCAAATCGCTCTTGCTGATTTTTTTCCTCCAATTTAAATTGCTGATTAACCTCTTTGCTCCTTCCTGTCTGTGTTCTTCGTCCCGGCCTCAGGCGGTGGAGGGTGAGCACGCCCACGCTCATCACCTCGGCATCAGCAACGACCAGCCTTTGCTGCTGCTCCTGCAGTGGCTGCCTGACCTGTCGGCTCAGAGGGACCTGCAGCTGCTGGTGGCCCAGTGGCTGGCYGCTGTGTGTGGAGGCTCGCTGTCGTGTCGCACCGTGGCTGTGGAGGCTGGCATGGTGGGAGCCTTGCTRCAAGTTCTCTTGCAACCCCAGAATCTGGACAGGCAGTGCGCGGACTCCCTGCTGGGCCTCCTGCAGGACTTGGGCTCCTTGTGTCTGAGACCAGAGGAGCTGAAGAGCCTCCTAAGGCTTCTGAGGATGAATCAGAACAACGGCGCAGCAGCAGGGAGGATCCATCCTTATTGCACCCGCATGATATGCGTGCTTTCAGCCATGGCAGCCAGGGAAGGCCAGGACAGTGCTTTGCAATATTTTGACCTCACACCCCCCATGGCAGGGATCATGGTCCCGACAATCCAGCGCTGGCCAGGCAGCGGGTTCGCCTTCCATGCTTGGCTCTGCCTTAACATGGACTTCCCGTCTTCCCATCCCTCGGAGCTTTCCAACAACCATAAACATCCCGACACCTCCGCCCCGGGGGCTCCTCACGACATGGGAAAAGGGCCGCGCAGGAAACAACTCTACAGGTAAAACCACATATCTGAGCTTTTGTTTGCATGGCTGCACATCGCTGCGTTTGACAGAGATATTGTTTTTCCTTTCTTTAAGTTTTTTCACAGCAAGTGGAACTGGTCTGGAGGCTTTCTTCAACATGGAGGGCGTGCTGGTTGTGGCCGTTTGCACTAAGAAAGACTACATGGCTGTTGCTYTGCCCGAGTACCGACTAGCTGACTCATGCTGGGTGAGTAATCCAGTGATGTCGGCGTCGGCTTTATTTATATAGCATGTTGCAAACAACAGGAGCTGCACCGAAGTACAGCTGAGTAAGAAATTAACCATTCAGTTAACAATAAATTATGTCTCGAAATGAAATATTAAGCAAAACAAACTAAGAAAGTAAAAAATTCCACATAATAGAATAAAAACTTGTGGTGGCCATGGTTYCACTAATCAGCTAACAGCTAATGGCGGAACTAATTTAGCAGATTAGCTTTTTCACTAACTTCCACTACATTAAATTTTTCAAACTTTAAGTTGGCTAACAKCTAACTAACAAGCTAACATCACTTAGTTCGGCTTCCACTTGTTTTTACTTGTTTAGTGGTTTAATGTTCATTTCCACTAATATATTTACATGTTTATAGTCAGCAAAGCTATACTTTTAGTAAGCAGATTATGAGTTAGCGAAGCTAAAGTTTTGGTTAGCTGTGCCCACCAATGATTAAAAACATTTAAAGTGCCTGTGACATGCCTATCCTTCAAATACAAAAAAAGTCAAAACATCTTTATACTTAAAAAATGGGCATAGTACATGTGATTTTACCCATTTTGTCACATAAGTGGTATTTTCTTTTAAATTTGGCTCAGCCAAAGTGAAACAGGAAGTGGCATCAAAGGGGAACTCATTAACAAAATAAACTCTCTGGTCTTTGTTTATTAAAACATAATTATTTGAGTTTTAACTCTTCTTCGTCTCTCTTTGATAGCGACTAAAAATAATCTACAGAAACATCAGCTTCTTCTCTACAATCTGTATTGTTAGCTTTTGTTACAACGCTCTGTTTACATGCAGACATTCACATTTGACATCACTTCCTGTTTCTTCGCATGCAAATATCTCAACAACCGTTCATCTCAGCGATGTGAAATTTGTTTTGCAACTTGTTATCAATGTTATCTTTCCAAAAATGCATTAATGTTTATTACAAAAATCTGATGTCACAGGCCCTTTAATGTTAGTGAGTGGATTGTTTTTTTTTTAATACTTAAAATAAAATTTTCAATGCTGGACATATGACTGAGCAAGACCATCAATGAGAGCCTTAAAAACTAAACAAGTGTAAAATCGATCATGACGTCGATTAGACAGTTCAATAAAAGTTTTAAATATTCAGGAGTTTTTATTTGAATGGAAAAATAAATTTGAGTATCATCTGCGAAACTGTAGAATGGAATATATACTGCATTTTCTAAATGGACCCCAAAGGCAAAATGATTAATAAAAACAGGAAAGGGCTCAGAATGGTACTTTGAGAAACTAAAAATAGAGCTGAGTTTATTATATAATCTAAAATTTATTAGCTCCGAGTCAACTACTATATAAATAAATTTGATCTAAGATAAAACAATTGTACATCAAGGAATTATTTTTACATTATATTTTGTTTGTATAAAGTTTTTGCTTTGACTACTTTTTATTTATCTTTTATTCAGCCAATAAAATTTATTTTATTTTTATCCTAGCATTCAGTGGCTATAGTCCACATCCCAGGTCGTCGTCCCTTTGGCCAGAATCTGGTCACGATTTACATCGATGGAGAGCAGAGAAAAACTGCTCAGCTTCGCTTCCCGTCTTTCAGTGAGGTAACAGAAAGTTTTATAATATGTGACGCATCACATCGAAATGAGGATGAAGTCAAATTTGGTCAAAATGACCTAATCATATTTTCAGATTCCTGCTTTAAAAGCTACATTTTGATAGATCATCCTGATATCATTAGTAGATCCAGGTATTATTTAATTTGTTTTGTTGATAACAATAAAACAAAAATATTTGGTCTAAATCCTAATTTTATGTAATTTTAATGAGGATCTTTTTATGTCATTTTAAAAAAGAAACCTCAAATAGTAATTGAATATTGAGATTTCCAGCTGGAAAGAAACAAAAGCTTTGAAAGCTCACAGTGAAAATCTCAACATTTTAAAACGTTTTTCCTCAAAATTGGGTTTTTGGTTGCTAATGCTCAAAAAAGTGCTTCAAAAAGGTTTTTTAGGATAATATTTCTGACAGTTCATTGAAATTATAATTGATAACATTTTTATTTGTTATATTTTGACAAAATGTAATATTTGCAAGCATTTTAATCAAACACCTATTTCTCCACATTCAACTTTTAGATTTAATCCTCGTTTCGATGTGATGGCTCACAAATATTCTGAATGTGTGATTTTTGTGCTCCGTTCTGCTAGTCTAACCTTGTTCCTCCCTTCTCTGCTCCTCCAGCCTTTTATCTACTGCTGCATCGGCTCCGCAGGCCAACGCACCACTACCACCACCACCTCCCCGAACCTCCCCGTGTCCGTCACCTCCAGCTCCTCGTCCCCCGAATTCGCCTTCCCCGCCCACGCTCCCTCMCTCATYCGTTCCCAGTCCTTCCCGGCCTCGATGGCGACAGGCCGCGGGGGGTCGATGGAGTCCACGGTGCACACCATTTCAGCAGGACTGCAGGACACGGAGTGGGGCTCGCCCACGTCTTTAGACGGGCTGCTGGGCACTGCCTTCATCTGTCACGAGGCTCTGCAGCCAACCCAGGCCAGAGCTCTGCATGCCGCAGGTTGGTTACGACACAAACCCGGGCTAACATCTAGAAATTTTATCTTAAGCTAGAGCAGAGATTCTTAACCTATGGGCGCCATCTTAAGGGCCTCAAAAGAGCAACATTTTTTAACTTTGGGCCACASGGGACCRCAGGATTGATTTTGAATAAAGTGCAATACACTTTCTCACCACCAGAAGCRGTAGTGCGCCACTCAGATGTTTAACAACTTTTTTAATACGTAGAAGAAGAACCTTAGATACCAGCCAAAAATGGAAACCTATTTTAAATGAAAAGTAGAAGCAAAAATGAAGGTAACGTGTCAAAAAACACCAAAGTTTGTCACTAATATGAAGAGCAGCTTCTGGTTCTACCATGCAAAAGTTTAAAAAGGCTTTATTTTAATTTGCACTTTATCAAATTTATTTGAAACATGTTGAACATGGATGGATATTTTATGACCACAATTTTATTTATTGAAGTGTCTATTTTTGTTATTGTTTATGTTAAAAAAGTTATTTTTATGTTGATAAGCCTGAGTGGTCCTTTGACTGACTGTTGTATTTGTTCAAATAATTGTTATGTGCAGGTTACAGTACAAAAAAAATGTTTGTCATAATCATGTCTTGTGATTATTTGACAGGAGTTTTAATTTTATACTATAAGTGTATTTAATTTAGTTATAATGCAAATACAGTACAAATTAAACCAAGATTTAGAATAATTACCATTTTGATCTGTACTTTGGTAATGTCTGACTGGGCCTCGTGCCACTTTATGTTCAACAAATTGGGCCCCGAGGTCAAAAAGGTTAAGAACCCCTGAGCTAGAGTATTTTCTGACTCACTGTGTTTTGTGCTTCCCATCACAGGTCCTAATCATGTGGCTTTATTCAAAGCGGATGGAGAGTTATCTGATCTGAACAGCAAGCTTCTGCTGTACTACACTCCACAGGTGACGATCTGAAGCTCAGGAAGACTCACTCTTTGCCTTACCCTGTCACTATCTACTACTCTGCTTTACATATGTGTGTGTGTTTTTTTATTTATTAGGCATTTAAGAGTCAGATATGTCTGGACTTGGCACCCAATCACCTTCATGATGGCAGGCTGACAGGACACAGAGTGATGAACCAGGACCTCAAGGTTAGATTTAAAAAAGCATTGTAGTTTTCATGATGACTTTGAGCTGATATAACTGTTTTTTATATAGATTTATTTCATGTTTTATTTTCTACTGCTTTCTTACGTTGTGTATTCAAATCCTTGTGTTGAAAACCCCTTAAATCAAATAAAACCTGGCTGACATATTTTCCCTAACGCAGGATGTTGTAAACGTGGTTGGAGGAATTGGAGTTTTGCTGCCTCTGCTGGAGCAGGTGTGCGAGGCGGAGCAGGTGTACAACGGYGGTCCGGAGACCTCAGACTTGCTGGGACCGGAGCTCACCTCCCCCAGAGGCCCCGCCGCCATGCTGCTGCCTCTGAACAAATCTGCAGGTCTGTTTGTCCTCCGTTCAGTCCCTCCGATTTCTCTTATGTTGTGTGTTTGAGTCAGGAGCTGAAGGAATATGTAGCTGGAATGAACATGTTAACAAAAAATTAAAGAAAATAAAGAAAACCCCAACTGATATAACATTTAATCAAATACATGTCTTTTAATTTCCTCGTTATGAACATTGTACATTTTCTTGAAAATCTCAGTTTTTATAAATATATTTTAATGCTGTTAGCATAAAACGACACTCCTTTTTTAATAAGGTCAAAGATGTAATCTGCTGCTTGGGCATCTCTAAACAAACCAGTCTGCATTCCTCCAAAATTAAGTCTTGCGTCATCAGTATTTTTTTTACACTCTGCTTCCAAGCAGCCAAACTTTCTTGCAATCTCAATCAGTAGTTCTCAATAGTCCAGTGGCTCAGGACCTGATCCAGTTTGTGTTGTTGTAAAGCCAATTATTTACGAATCATTCGGGCCTAAAAAATGCTCCTAAACTTGAGATAAATCGGCTTGAGACTGGCTACTTTCTGCACTTTATAATACGAACATAAGCTATGTCTAAATGCTGCTGGATGACACTATAGCACACAACGTGCTGCTAAGCTGTCAAGCCTCATAAATTATATTATATAAACTGACTGCTTTAGACTTTATAGTTCTTTTTTACAAACCGAGCTGAGAGCACCAAACTAAGTTTTGTTGTGTTAATGCTTTTTTTGTTTTTTGTTTTGTTAAGATACTTGCACTTTTACCCAAATATCACTTTGTGGTACTTTATACAACATTGCTTGTCACATGGGCTGTGTCTAAATTCAGAGGCTGCATCCTTCAAAGGCAGAATTTGTCAGTTGCTTATGTCACTGCGCTGCACCTCCTCCCAGTTTGTAGGATGGTCTGGTGGATCCTTCTTGGCCCACCCTATCCCAAAATGCATTGCGGGCTGACCTGCTATTGAGAAGGTTTTTGTTATGTTTTTTGCTTGTAATGGTGGTCAAAGCAAAAAAAAGGAGTACAGTTTTATATAAATATCTGGCAGTATAAAAATTGAATTGCTAGACTTTTTATCAGTTGTGTAGACGTGTTTTTATATATATTATTTTTGCCAGAAATCAAACGAGTTCATACGGCGGGTCAAGTAGTTCTTCAAGTTTTGCCCTCAAGGTAATTTTGTTAATTTATAATATTAATATATTAATATTTTGCTACTTTTTATCTATTTTTTGCTTCGGTTTAGCATCGTTATGGTTGTTAGGTGTCAGGAAATATGCAGGGGTAAGAGCGGGATTAAAGCTGAAGGCTACACCTTCAAAATTCATTCACTTCCTTCCGGTCTTTGCGGTTGACCAAGGACCTGGGTAGGACCCACCTAGACTGGGTAGGCTGGGTCCTTCAAAGGACATAGCCCCTGAATTTGGACACAGTTTGTATCTTCAGTTTGTTAGCTAGTCGTCGTTAGTCARTTACAATCTAGCGAGCTAATAAATTTCTTGCAGCAACTTTAATGTTAGCAGTCTTGTCACAAAGATGCTATTTGTTTCCTTGGTTTGCAAACCTGTCAATATTTGAGGAACACCTGTATGTGTTAATGAGCGACAGCTGTGAATAGAGGGTCTAGGGTGCACGTCCCCTTGAAAAACTTTTTAAAAATCTACTCAAAACTATGCATTTTACTGTCATTTTAGTTACTAAATTCTCAGGAGCAGTGGTGGGCACCAGCCCGCTAAGGTGCAAATCCACTAATTGTGGACCTAAATATTTCGTTTGCGCTTTAGCGGTCTTACTAATTTTTATAATTCATAAGCAGATTTGTGCTTTCTAAAATTAAAATGCAGTACCRCTAATAACTAATTATCTACCAGTCATCATCATCTTGAACAACAGAAGGTATGACTGTCAATGAATCACAACACGCATGATCTGTCCAACAGCACCCCTCCCAGATAAACACACTTATTGTGAAGGTATACATCTTTGCTGAATGTTGCTTTCGGTCACGGTTCTGATTTCCCACAATGCTTTGTGTCTGCTTACGTAGCAGGAAGGCAATAGCAAAAACAGTAAACGTTTGTAATCCATTCTAAAATTTTGTATGTATTGATTTATTTTACTTTACAATTGGAGCTCCTTTAAAAAAAATAAAATAAAGTTTAAAGCTGGAGCTCAATACTTGATGTAATTGGTCGAAGCAATCGGCCAACGGGGTTAGACAGACATCTAGTGGTCAACTGGARCAACTACATGGAAAACTTTAAAATCCAAGCTCTTATTTTGAAGGGAAGATAGTTTCCTGTACTCCGTGCTTTCGTTTCCCGTCACAAATCAAATCCGTCATGGACCCAGAATGCATCGCTTCAGTTTTCCAATAAACAGTTTTAAAATAACTTTATTGAAGCTTCTTTAATGAAAAATCTACAACAAAAAAGACAAAGAAGCAGCCGAACTAGCAATCCTCAACAACTTTTTAAAGAATCAGCCGAACTAGCAATCCTCAACAACTTTTTAATTTTTACACCAGGAGCTAAAGGTCTGTTTCAGGAAATCACATCCCCAGCAATCGGCGGTTGTAGAATTAAGCCGTACAAAGGTTCATACACCGCTAGTTGGCAGTGTTGTGCATATATTGTTCATGAATTGTTGCCAGCTAGTAAGTGTCAAATTGAATTTGCGCTTTAAAATTAGCTTCTGCTATTTTTTCTATCGCATAAACTCTTTTTAAGTTGTGGACCTAAATATTTTCATAAGCACTTTAGAAATTGCGTAGCTAATTTTTGGATTAGTGCTGCCCACCACTGCTCAGGAGTAATAATAAAACAACATAAGATCGATATATTACTATTACAGAAATGTAGGACAATGGATTTGAGCTAGCTTACTAGCTTTTGTGGAACAAACAGAATGTTTAACTATTCATCAAATAATAATAATTACTTTTCTAATGACGGCTACAGCAATTAAAAACTCGCCTACTCATTTTTCCTGGAACTGTCAAATAGCTGTTGGGTAAAAACGTGTTCCTGTTCCTTTTTCATGAAGTTTTTTCATTTCCCGTTTTCCACCATGAGTTAATTAATAAACCCGACTTACAGGACAATTACTGGCTTAAGTGATGAATGACAAACAGGAAATGACTGACAAATACAGTAAATCAAATAGTTGAAATAGTAAACAGCACAGTCATGCTAATGCCAAATGTAAATTCTTGAGAAACAAAAATTAGGTTATTTAACAAACTGCCTAATAAAACAGGCAGAACTCATCTTGAGACGCGATTAAATGCTTTGTAATGCAAAAATTTAAATGTGGCTAACACTGGAAACCTTAAACCTTGATTATTTTATGTCTTTTTCTCAGAGGGCAGACTAGAGAGAAACAGCATTGCTGCCTTCCTGCTGATGGTGAAGAATCTGATTCGTCATCACCCCATCAATCAGGAGAGCCTGCTGCAGTGCCAGGGGCCGAGCATCATCGGAGCCATGCTCAGCAAAGTAGGTGCCCTTCCACTAAACATGTTCCAGGAAAACGAAAAGCTGATTAGCATCTGAAAGTAAAAAAAAAAAAAATCTGACCTTTTCCAGTGCGGCGCTGCTGTAAATGTGCTGTGTAATAAATGGATGTGGAGCTGCTGAGGCAGCAGTGGTCTTTCAGAGTGACTGTATCAAAATGCTGGTRTAGGGCGAAACATGCAGTTTGATGAATTAATTTCAGTTTCAAGGGAAACAAATGATGCCAGTTTGGGGAAAAAATGTTTCAGTTTCTATTTTGCTGTTTTGCTGTTGTAGATACGAGGTGAGTCAAAAGTCTCAGGACACCCCTTTGAAAACACRGCTGCCAATTTGAAAGCCACCAAATCACTTGCTGCTCCCCATCTCTCCCAAAATCACATACAATTTTTATCTCTTCATTCAAAATAATAAAAGAATGAAGTGAAAAGTTACAAACTTTTATTTGGGAACCATTGAAAAGATCTGCTCCCTCACCCATTATTTACTGGGATATTCAGATATTTTATTTCCCTTTTGTTTGTCCTGAGACTTTGTATGGGATAAATCTTGTGCCAGAAGGAATTCAATTTGAATWGCTCAGATTGAATCTGAATGTGCATAATTTGAAATTGAATACATTGGTTTGAAAACAAATTTCACTAAATTGAAACTGAATTTAAAGTTTTGAATTTGAATTAATTTGCTTTGAAACTGTATTTTGGTTTATTAAAAATTCAGTTTGTCTACTTTCACTTTCAGTTCCATAATTCAGATTTTTGTGTCACATCCTGGTCCTTGAGAAAGCCAGGCAGAGTAATCAAACACAGATCCACAGATTTATGTTTAACTTTGGTGAAGTTTCCCTCCTGTATGTAACAGAGTTGATGCAATCCACTGTAAAAGTGACAAAAACAGTTATTTTGTTGCAGTGATTAATTTTACTTATAGA